AGCCGCATGTGGCAGCCCTACTGCTCCAGAGAGTCAGGGCTTTAATGTCTTTGCAAGTGCTCAGGTGCCAAGGTGATGGGCACAGGATAGAAAAACGTGCTATTGGTTTTTGATGTTGTATTAGGAAAGCCCCCTCACCCTAGCCCAGGGCTCATCTGTGCGTCCCCAGCTCAGCCCCCAGAGGTAGGTGTTCATCACCCCCACCCCACCCAGACAGATGGGGAGCCTATAGGGGCCCTGCCTGCCATCTTCTGTCACCATTTACCCCTGTGCAAAGGGGCTGCCAATGCTGCCCTGGGGCAAGGGGTGGACTGGGAGGTGCACACAAGGGACAGGGCAGGGGAGAGTCAGGCCTGGGATTCAGCCACAGAAACTCCCTTCCCCACAGATAGCCATCGGCCTCCCATGCTGGCCAGCTGGCAAAAGCTCTTTGGGAGGCTTAGCCGTGTAACAGGTAAGAACCTGCCTGTCTCACCAGGCTCGCCCAAGCAGTACTTTCACAAGGGTCCAGTGGGCTCATTTGCTGTGCTCCCAGTTCTGATCAGCCTCACAAACTGCATGCCATGGGCCATCAGGATCTGAGTCCATCCCTCCTCCCAGGCTATCGCGTAGGGAGGGGTGGGTCATTTGGGTACATACAAACATCCCAAAATAGCCCTGTGGTTGGCATGTGGCTCAGGCCAGTCTCAGGCCAGCTCGGCGGGAAGCACACCCTGTCTCATGCTGGGCGACAGCATTCACTGCGGAAAAGTGTGAGGAAGTGAGATAAGGAGAAGCAGGTCCATGCGCTCTCAGGACAGACACAGCAGCTCTGCAGCAGCAGCCCCTGGATGGAACAGACTAGCAGGAAGGCCTGGGGCTTCCGGACTCCTCCCTGGAGCGGGAGCAGGGCAGGGGCAGGGCCAGGGCTGGGCATCACGCAGGGGGCTGGGGGGAGGAGACAATGCAGGCGAGAAAGAGGTAGAGAGTGCTGCACCATGCAGGGCTCAGGGAGCTGCCTGCTGGGGGCATTCATCCCTGCTGCCATCAGGCTCACCGCTGCTCAGACCTCGCCCCATGCTGTCCCCAGGTTTGCACAGGTAATTGCTGCCATAGTCTTGGGGCATCTCGAGCCAGTGCCAGGACTCACCTAGGGAGAAGCGCAGCGAGGGGTGCCCTGGTGCCAGAGTGGGAGGAGCCTGGGACTTGGGCTTGCACAGGAAACATCAGGAGTTCCCTCAGCTCAGCAAGAGTTTGGTGCCCCAGGGAGCTGGCCAGAGACACCCCTCCCCCCCAGGAGCCCACTGTCCAGCTGGAGACACCCCCTTTTCCCCCAGGAGCCCACCAGCCAGCTAGAGATCCCCCTATGAGCCCACTGGCCAGCCAGAGACCCCCCCAGGGGAGCCCGCTATCCAGCCGGAGACACCCTCCCCCCCGGAGCCAGTTGGCCATAGACAATGTCCCAGGAAGCCAGCTGGCTGAAGGAACTGCAAGGCCACCAGCATTAAGGTGGCATGGCTGGGGTGGCATGTACCATAATGTTCCAGTTCTTGGTTTTCAGCAGTGTGAGTTCAGCTGAGCTCCACATTCTGGAAGGACACCGGACAGCCCCGGGCACCCTTACCTCAGCGTGAATGAAGTTTTGGGGCATTTTGTTTCCTTGTTGTTTTGTATTTAAATAATTTCTCGGCCCGCCTACGTACCAGAGCCCAGCTCTCCCCTGCCACAACCACGGGCTCCTTGGGAATGGTTATCCCAGTCCCAGAATGCCCTTCATTGCCCCTGCAGCATCTCCTGCCTAGGCCAGTTCTCCCTCCTCAGCCCACAGAGCGACAGGTGGTGGCATGGGACCGGCAGGGCCAGGGGGACGGTGCAGGAACAGTACAGAGCCTAGCATGGAGTCAGCTAGGACATTTTTGAAGGTGGAGAGGCCCCCCAGTCCCAGCCTCCGCCCCACATGCATGTGCAATGCACACCCACAGTGTCTCTACACTGCAAAAGTGGGGTTGTGACTTGGATTAGCTAAATTGGGTGAAAATAGCTGAAGAAACAGCAATTTGGCTTTTATCTCAGGTAAGCAGTGCATGCTGAAGCCTCAGCTCTAGGGAGCCCGAGGGCCGACACCCTGCTGCTCACCCACATGCAGTGCTGACTTGCCTGGCATCACTGCTAACACAGGTTAAGAACACACCAGATTTCTTTCCAGGATAGGGATACCCATACAGCGCCCCTCACCCCCACAACATGTCCATGCCCACGCTCTCTCACCCCCCCCCCCCAACGCTTGATGCAGCTCCACTCAAAGGCAGGGAGGTGGTTGAGAGCAAAGAGAGGTGCTCTCTCTTCCCAGGAACCTTGGGGTGCCCCCCAACCCTGGGGCCCCAGTGCACCCCTATCCCCAGCACTCACCACTTGGCCAAAGGCACGTGCAGTGTGCACACATAGGACAGTCACTACTGTGAGCATTTGCAGGGTCTTGGCTCAGGGGAGCTGAGCTTAACACAAGACCCCAGGGAGTTTGTGAAAGTGGCTTGTAGCCTGGGGCCCCTACCTGAAGTAGACAGTATCCACCCGGTCCCAGCTGTAAGTTGAAGCCATCTGCCTACCCCCAGCTGCACATGACTCCAAGGAACCACTCACAACTAGGGCACAGCCAGGTGTGGCTGGGCCTTGGCCACGCCCCGTTTCACTCAGCCCCAAACCAGAGGAACCTGGAGCTAGTCAAGCCAGCTTTATGTGCTGGCAAGTTGGGCCAGGCTGGATGAGAGACCGACTGCAGAGACCCAAAAGGGACTGAGCACACCCTCTTCCCCCCCCTGCCCCAGCACTTCCCCAAGGGCGCTAAGGAAGGACAGAGGCTCTTTGGACCCACCTTCAGATGTCACCGGAGCAGGGCTCAAAGCAGGAGTGAGGAGGCTGAGCAGGAGTCCAGCTACCAAGAAAAGGGGCTGCTCTTGGCACAGCTGGGCCCCCATTCTGCTACAGTGAGCATTCAGTGCCAGTCAGAGCGCAGGGCTCCAGCCACCTGCCCTGCAGAACTGGGCATCCAGGGGCAGGGCTGTTCTCTTTCTGGGCCTGGCTTGCTGCTGGAGCTGAGACACAAAGCCTTTATCTGAGACATGTCAGCCTCGCTCCGCAGGAAGCCTGGGTAAAGGGCCCCTTCCACCCCCATCCACCCAACTTCCCCGGCCCCCAAACCACCATGCTGTGGCCGCTCAGCCGCTGACAGTGATGGCACCAATAGAGCCTGTTCCTATCAGATAGGCAGCACGTCCTGCCCTTGCGGCTACAGGAGAGAATGGAGGCCGGGATAGGAAGAAAAACAACCCTGCTGTGAGACACCGAGTCCCTGCATGGTGGGTAAGGAGGGGGTGCACCCGGGAGGGACTCCTGCCTCTAGGGTGCACTCTGGGACTAGCTGCCCCCTACACACCCATTGTGTGAGCTGCTCTTTGCACACACCAGACCGGTCAGGGGCATGCTTGCACACACCTCTCAGCTATTCATTTATTAACAACTCAAGACAACACAGGGTGACGAGGCTGCTGCATGTCACTGGTGCAAGGAAGCTCTGGCTCATAGAGGAATGCTGCATGGTTTAGTCCCTTGGAGATTTCACACCTCACGTCACCTCAGCCTGGACAGAAATCCCCTCCCAACACGTCCTGTATCCACCACCTGTACAGGCTCAGCAAGATGGCGATATTCAGCTATTCAGACAGGCGCCACCAGCCCCAGGCAACTGCTTGCTCCAAACTTACTGAGCTCCCACCAGGCGCCTAAGGCCAAGCCTAGCGACTGTGAGGCCAGGCATGTGCTCCACACCATCTTCCCAGAGAGCGCGACAGAGAGAGCAGAGCCTGAGGGCCCGTGCAGAGCACCAGGATACAGCTGCACCTCTGCGCCGCCTTGGACCCCACCCAGAGCCCGTGCCCAGCTAGCACACAAGCCCAGCTCTGGGTTCCCTGGCTGCTCGCACCCAGAACACTCTGAGCACAGGGCATGCACTCAGAGCACGCACATGCTGCAGAATGTGTTTTTGAAAATCATACATTGTAATTGGCTTTTGCACTGCCAGCCATGCAGAAGGAAAATACCACAACTGGACTGGACGTGGGCAAGAAAACTAGACGCTTAGCAACAATGTGGGCACTCACCAGAAAGCTGAACTCAGGGGAATCCATTCTCATGTACCAGAGCACCAGTTGTCTCCTTAGAGTTCAGGAGGGAATTCCATTGCTACTCAGCATAGCCCAATATCCCCGTGCAAGGAGGGTATCTTTAATTAGTTTGCTTGCCCCTGAAGAAACAGGCATAAGCCATACCCTAGCCAGGATTCTGGGGGCAACAGGCCCACGCTCGAAACTGGCAAATTCGGTGCTCCTGAGATAGCCCAGGACACTGACGTCCTCATGGCAGGTCAGGGAACACACAGGCACCAGTGGTGCAAGACCCAGTATCCCATTCTCTGCTCCCTGAGCCAGCCAGTTCCCCCCCCCGAGCTGGCTTGGAGCCAGTGCCCCCTAGCGGAAGTCAAATTAAACGATCTAAGGGTATGTCTACACTACGGGATTAATCCGAATTTAGATAATTCGAATTTGGGAAACAGGTTGTATAAATTCGATTGTGCGCGGCCACACTAAGCACCTTAATTCGGTTTTTAACCACATTAATTCGGTGGTGTGCGGCCACACTACCCCATTAATTTAAACACAGTAATTCGGTGGTGTGCGGCCAAACTAACCCTAATTCGAATTAACAAAATCAATTTAGGCGCTACTCCGCTCGTCGAGGTGGAGTACAGAAATCGATTTTAAGTGCCCTTTAATTCGAATTAACTGGCTCTGTAGTGTGGACGGGTGAAGGGTTAATTCGGATTAACGCAGCTAAATCCGAATTAAAGTCGTAGTGTAGACCAGGCCTAAGTGTCCTTTCTAGACTTACAATCTGTGTTTCTATGAAAGAGAGAGAGAGGAAAGGCCCCGGCCCCTTCCCCAAACCCCTGAGCCAGCCTGTCCCTTAGACTTCCTTTATTAACCGTAAAGCACAAGTCGTGGCAGCCACTGGTCTCTGGCAGGTCAGAGAGGAGCCTGGGGCCAAGCCTGGAATATTTTACTCCTCCATGGTGTTCCAAAGGCGAGCGCTGGAATCCTTCCTCTCGGACTCCCCTGATCGGCCCTGTCCCAGAGGGTCTCCAGCATCCAGGAGCAATGTTTGCACAGCTCTGCGTGCCAGTACGCTGGCCGCATGGTGCCGGGCCAGGTCCAGCTGCACAGCGAGTCAGTTCCGAGAGCCCACGGGCAGCAGGGAAGCTGAGCAGCCACACACGAAACACCAGGGCTGGAGGTGGGGACGAGGGCTCTACATTTGGGGCTGTTTCCAAGTCTGTCCTTTACCCAGGACAAGTCTTTGTGCCTCTCTTAGGGCAGCAAGGGGCTGGTATCACATCCTCCAGCTTCAGAGAAGGCCCCAGTGTCCATGGGCTCAAGGGGAGACACGCCTCCCTGCCCCTGTTCTCGGCCAGGCACAGCGCCTGCCTGCAGCAAGGATTGGGAGAGTGGGGAGGGGCATGAGACAGGGAGAGCCTGGCCCTGCCACTGGTGTAGAGCTGCACTGCAGAGACCAGCAGAGAGGGCAGCAAGCGCAGGGCAGTCCTGCCTGAGCGGACTGGGGGGCAGAAGCTGCCGTTCAGCCAGGAATCTGGCTGCAGAATATGGGGGTATCATGTTAGCCAGAAACTGCCCCCAGGCAAGTTCCTGCTCCAGGACAAAGGGCAGTTCCTCGTCTCCACTCCCCACGCTGGAGCAGGCCATTTACAGCATGCCCCACACGGGGCAGAGGCCATGTCCCTCCCCTGGCGTCCAAGTGCGGCAAGTAGGGGTGTGTTATTTACAGGGCTCCCGGCGCTGTGCTCCACTCGCCCTCAGGCCTCCTCCGCTGTGGCGTCGATGCCGGCGTACGTGAAGTTCTCGAATAAGGCCATGTTCACATAGGCCTGGATGGGGAGAGACAGTGTCAGGCCTGGGGCTTGGTTAGAGCATCCTGCTCAGCACTCCCTGGTCCTGGTATCAGGACCCTGGCCTGCTCCGAGCGCTGTCTGGGTGATTCCCCAGGTCTAAGTGAACGTAGGTAGGGGCTGAACACCTTGTGAGTGGGGTTTGGCTTTATGCCCCTTGGCCTGAGCTAAGGCTGGGAGCGGCTCCTCTCTTAGCCAGGAGGGGGCAGTGTTCACCCCAGAGCCCCTTGCAGTCTGGGTCTGGGCTGCGGCTTCGCTCGGTGAGGTTCAGAACAGGGATTAGAGCCGGTGTTCCCTGCCAATGCCAGGCAGGACGGGGCACTGGGCAGAGCGGGACTGTCCCCACAGCATGTCCCTCCAGAACAGGGCTGTCCCCACGCTACGCGCCTAGTCCAGCTGTGACTGTCCCCCTGCAAAGCTTCCTGGGCTCTGGCTTGGAGATGAGTCCTAGGCATGTGGCAGGGCTCAGAGCCCTGCTCCCCGGTGCCCTTCTGAGGAGAGAGGCTGCAAAGCCCCTAGGATTTCCCCAGCATCAGGGCAGTTCCCGTGTGGCACAGTCAGATTTACATCATCGCCCAGCAGCTGCCAACACGGGGCATGGCCAGGGAAAGGAGCTACAGCAGCTCTGCAATCCAGCTGGTCCTGGCCGCTGGAAAAGCTCATTAGAGCCCTGGAGTGGCAGTTACTGTGATGGGACCTTGCCTCCCCCTTGGGTGCAGCCCTGCCCCAGGGCCTGAGTACAGTGCTGAGGGAGGGATAGAGCTGCAGCCAGCCCCGCTGGGGCACAAGCAGACTACCTTCCTGGCCTCCAGCATCCGGATAAGTTGCATGGAGATCTGAGCGAAGGGCGGGCGCTCGTAGGGGCGGTCTCGCCAGCACTGCTTCATCAGCTCATACCTAGGAGAGAGGGCACAGCAGGGCCTGTGTCAGGGCAGACAGGACATGGGGGTGGAGGAAGCACTGGCAGGGAAGGTGACAAGTAGCTGAGGCATAAGCAAGTTGCAGTAGGAGGGACGAAGGCACGGGAGCCCAGCAGGCTGCCCTACCGTGGGTCATGGGTGGGGAGGCTGCCAGCTTTCCTGTTCCTAGTGCACAGGGATGACATCATGTGACGTAGTCCGTCCCCCAAGACACCAAACAAACACAGAGGCCGTGCAAAGAGGCCCTGGTTCCTGTGTGTGGCTGGTGCCCCATGGCCACAGCCAAGGCCAAGCCTGTTTTCCTGGTCTCACCAGGCCCAGCCAGGACAGACTGGGGCAGCCAGATCCCACTTACACCTCATCATCACAATTGCGGGGCTTCTCCATACGATATCCCTGTGGCAGTTTCTCGTAGAGCTCAGCACACGTCATCCCGCAGTAAGGAGTTCCTCCTGGGGGCAGAGCACAGCACACACACTCATAAGGACATAAGAACAGCCAGACTGGGTCAGACCAATGGTCCATCCAGCCCAGTATCCTGTCATCCAACAGTGGCCAATGCCGGGTTCTTCAGAGGGAATGAACAGAATAGGACAACTGATCGAGTAATCCATCCCCTGTTGTCCAATTCCAGCATCTGGCAGTCAGAGGTTTAGAGGCTTCCAGAGCATGTGGTTGTGTCCCAGACCATCTTGGCTGATAGCCATTAATGGACCCATCCTCCATGAACGTATCTAATTTTTTTTTTAACTCAATTATACTTTTGGCCTCTACAATATCCACAGGTTTACTATGTGTTGTGTGAAGTAGTACTTCCTTATCATTGTTTTAAACCTGCAGCCTAGTAATTTCATTGAGTGACCCCTGGTTCTTGTGTTCCTTATTCACTGTCTCCACACCAGCCATGATTTTATAGACTTCTATCATATCCTCCCTTAGTCGTCTCTTTTCCAAGTCTAACAGTCGCAGTCTTTTTAATCTCGCCTCATAGGGAAGCTGTTCCATACTCCTGATCATTTTTGTTGCCCTTCTCTGTACTTTTTCCAATTCTAACACATCTTTTTTTTTTAGATGGGGCAACCATCTATCCCTTTCCTAGTGGTTCCTAACATTGCACATTGAGCAGATATTTTCAGAGAATGATCCACAATGACTCCATGATCTCTTTCTTGAGTGGTAACACCTAACTTAGACCCCATCATTTTATATGTATAGTTGGGATTATGTTTTCCAGTGTGCATTACTTTGCATTTATCAATATTGAATGTCATCTGCCATTTTGTTGTCCAGTCACCCAGTTTTGTGTGATCTCTTTGTAATTCTTCGCAGTATGCTTCAGACTTAGCTATCCTGAGTAATTTAGTATCATCTGCAAACTTTGCCACCTCACTCTCTACCCCTTTTTCCAGATCATTTATGAATATGTTGAACAGCACTGGTCCCAGTACAGATCCTTGGGAGACCCCACCTTTTACCTCTTTCCAGTCTGAAAACTGACTATTTATTCCTACCCTTTGTTTCCTGTCTTTTAACCATTTACTGATCCATGAGAGGACCTTCAACTGCTTAATTTCCTTAAGAGTCTTTGGTGAGGGACTTTGCCAGAGGCCTTCTGAAATCCAAGTCCATTGTATCCACTGATCACCCTTGTCCACATGTTTGCTGACTCTCTCAAACAATTCTAATAGATTGGTGAGGCATGATTTCCATTTACAAAAGCCATGTTGACTCTTCCCCAACATATCGTGCTCATCTAGCTGTCTGATAATTCTGTTCTTTACTATAGTTTCAACCAATTTGCCTGATACTGAAGTTAGGCTTATGGGCCTGTAATTGCCAGGATCGCCTTTGGAGCCTTTTTAAAAAATCTGCATTCCATTAGCTGCCCTCCAGTCATCTGGTGCAGAAGCTGATTTAAGCGATTGGTTACATATCACAGTTATTAGTTCTGCAGTTTCATATCTGAGTTCCTTCCTTCAGAACTCTTGGATGAATATCATCTGGTCTTAGTGACTTCTCATTGTTTAATTTATCATTTGTTCCAAAACTTTCTCTATCAATGCCTCAATCTGGGACAGTTCCTCAGATTTGTCACCTAAAAAGAATGGCTCAGGTGTGGGAATCTCCCTCACATTCTCTGCTGTGAAGATCAATGCAAAGAATTTATCTATCTTCTCAGCAACGGCCTTGTCTTCCTTAAGTGCTCCTTTAGCACCTCACTTGTCCAGTGGCCCAATAACTGTTCGGCAGGCTTCCTGCTTCTGGTGTACTTTAAAAAAAATTGCAGTTAGTTTTTGCTAGTTGCTCTTCATATTTGTTTTTGGCCTGCCTAATTATACATATACACTTGCCGGTTTGACTTCCAATTTTTAAAGTATGCCTCTAATCGCCTCTATTATTCTGTTGTTTACCGATGGTGGCATTTTTTTGGTCCTCTTACTGTGTTTTTTTATTTGGGGTATACATAGAGTTTGAGCTTCTGTTATGGTGAATTTAAAAGTTTCCATGCAGCTTGCAGGCATTTCACGCTTGTGACTATTTCAGTTTGCAGGTCCCACTCCACACACCACCTCGTGCAGACTCTGCCATACAAAACCAGAGCTGCCCAGGCTCCAGCCACACTCAGACCCACACCAGCCAGATTGTGGCTGAGGCTGAACCAGCCACCTCCCTCAAGGGGTGGGCTCTCCCCCCGCCTCCCTGCGCTGCCCACAGGTGTCTCCCTGTAACGCTCCTTTCAGCTCCATCACTTTGGAAGGCATTTGTTGCTGGTGGGTTGTGTGTTCCCTGAAGAGACCTGGACAGGCAGTGCCCGCTGGGGCCATGGCAGGGGCTGGGCCAGTCCTAGGGTGCTGTCGCGGGTGCCCACAGACTCAGAACCCACAGCACTGGGAACATGTTCAACACTGGATTACTGTCGGGACTGGCCTGACTCGGGACAGGCTGGCTCAGGGGTTAGAGCTCTAGCCCAGGACTCAGGTTCATGTTCCTGCTCCATGACAGCTCCCTGCATGACCGTGGGCAAGTCACCTGGTCTCTCTGGCACAGATCCTCCAAGGCATGTAGCCATTGGCTGTACTGAGAGCCAGGGTCCGTGCCTCTGTCCCCATCTGTACCATGGGGATAAATCTGCCCCAGACGGTGCGGCGCTCAGACACTATGGCGGGGCAGCCACACATCGAGAGACGTCATTACGCTGACCTAAGCCCAGGTGTAGACGCCACGAGGTCGATGGTGACCCAGCGCCCGCCTCTTGAGGGAGTGGCTCTAAAGCAGTGGGAAAGCCCGTCCGTGGCTGTCGTGAGTGTCTCCAGGACAGTGCTGCAGCTGGGCTCCTGGAGCACTCAGAGCACGTCTACGCTATGACTCACGCGCCAAGGCCCAGAGGAGGCAGCTCAGCGGAGACCCTATGCCAGCTCCTCGGCATGTGAGTTACTCCCTTGCCCCAGTGGGTGCTTGGATCTGAGGGACCCTCCTGGCTGGCACTGCCGTGCCATGGCACCCTCCGCTGGGCAGCGCTCAATGAGGCAGGTTCACGTTACTCACTGCCTCACTCGGACAACATTTCTGACATGAGCCAAGAGCTCCCTGCCAGAGCAATGGGAGGGAGGGAGGGCCAGACCAGCTGGGCACACCTGTGCCATGCCTGCAGGACCCACAGGTAGAACGGATCAACCCAGGATGAGCCACCTGGGCCGGTACTTACCCAGGCTGACAATCTCCCACAACAGCACCCCAAAGGACCACCTGAAAGAGAGACAGCGCTTGGGTCTCCAGCAGTGCCTCCCTCCCGGGCCCCCTCGCCCAGTTCCAGCATATCTGTCTGCGGGGTTCACTCTGGGACAGGAATGGGAGGGGCTGGGACTGCACCAGGGCAGGGGGCTGGGAAGATGGAGGCACTGGAAATGGGGACAAGCTCTTCAGAGCTAGGACTGTGTCCTGCTGGGGCTGAGCAAGGCCAGCGCAACGGGGCCCCGCTGTAACAGGAATCCCTGGCTCTGAGCACAGCGAGCCTGGGCTGAGCGGGGGGATGGGCTAGAGGCTGTGAACAAGGCACGGGGAAGGTGTAGGAGCAGTAGCACCTCCGGTGTCAGCAGGGAGGGTCGGCTAACCCCCTTCTGCATTGGCAGAGGGCTAACCCCATAGACATATCTACCCCACAGACCGGGGGCAGGACTCACACGTCACTCTTGGTGGTATACACGCTGTAGTTCAGTGACTCGATGGCCATCCAGCGAACTGGCAGGCGGCCCTGGGGAAAAAGACCCACGGTAATGAGCAGGGTAGTGGGGAAATCCCCCCCCCCAGTCATGGAAAGGGGGGCTAGGAAACAGCCACTCCTAACCCAACCAGGGGGGAGGGATAGCTCAGTGGTTTGAGCACTGGCCTGCTAAACCCAGACCTTCTGAGGTCCCTTCCAACCCTGATATTCTATGATTCTATGATTCAGGTGTCACCCACCACTGAGTGGGGAAAGCCGGGGTAGGGAACAGCTGCCCCCAATCCAGGCAGCGGGAGCCATGGGTAGAGGGGGGTTCACGGCCATGCTGTGGGACAGAAGAGATCTTGTACTAGGAGAGGGGCAATTACAGTAATTGTCCCTAGAGCTGCTGGGTTGGGGCATTGCAACCTAGGTCTGCCAAGGGCGCAGTGGAGAGCCCCTCACGCTGGACTCACCATGGTTTTCTTCACATAGACCTCCTCCCCTCGGGAAAGGCCAAAGTCGGCGATCTTGGAAGCCAGGTTCTCCCCCACCAGAATGTTCCTGGCTGCCAGGTCCCTGTGAATGAACTGAGACAGCCGTGGTGAGTGAGGGCTGGGCCTGTGTGGCCCCTCCTGGAGACAAGCTGGCAGGCCCCAGCTCGGCACAGCCTCCTGTTACTCCCAGCCCTGGGACGTAGAACAGGGACCAGCTTTGGTGACAGGTGTGTGGGGGTGGGGGCGATGCAGCATTCACCCTCTGGGACTCTGCAGCTGGGAACGGGAAGGTGCCGGCGGGCCCTAGCCTCGGCGCTTTGGACATGCTGAGGGACAAAGCTGTTCTGCTTCTGGTCCAGCCCTCATCCCTGGGCACATCTGGGCCCCAGCTACTGCTCCTGAGGAAGCTGATGGCTGCAGTGGATCCTGATCAGCTCTCCTGGATCCTGGGGAGTCTCCCCTGTGCCAGCTGGCTGGGCAGAGGGCAGGCAGCCAAGCTGCTGGTGGGTTCAGGGAGCCTGGCCAGGAGGCAGCAGAAAGGAGCCTGGACTCAGCAGCAGTGGCTCCAAGTCCCTGGAAGTCAAAGTGCTGCACCTAGGACTGGCTGGGCTTTGGGGCAGCCCTAGGAAGAGGAGACTGGGGGCCTTTCAGACCCAGCACTGGGGCATCATGGGGCGGCTAAGCATGGGAGGATGCTTCAGCAGGGCTCGGGGGGTGCCCGGCTCCCCGCATTCTGGGTCAGAGCATGGGTAGGTCAGCTGGCTGCCCCGGAGACCTGTGCCCTGCCGGGCCAGCCACTGAGCAGCAGAGCTGCTCTCCCGAGACAGGAGCAGGCAGTGCCATGGCGCCAGCTCCTCCATTCCCGTGCCCCACGTGCAGAACACGTCACAGCCAATCAGAACGCAGATGGGCGGGAGAGACCTATACTCGTTGGCTAGTTTGCCCCAGCTCTGTGTCTTGTTGGTGGCAAGTGACATGCTGGGACGTGGTAACGCTGCCTCACCGCAGGCAGGCTGGGCTCCATGTCGCTGGGTCACAGAGCGGTGGCCATGGCTGGCGTGTTTCAGGGAGAGCCTGGTGCCAGATGCCTCAGCTCCTGGTTGTGATACACAGCTGTGCAGGCACCGGCACCCCTCCCACGCTCCTGCACACGCACCCACATGGCTATCATGGCTGCTGGCCCTGGCAGAGCTTGGCACGTGTTCAGAGCAGGCAGGGCAGGGGAGGGGACACACCTGCTTCTCGCTTAGATACTGCATTCCCTTGGCCACATCGGAAGCAAACTGGAGGAGCTGCTGGGACGTGAGGGTAGATGCCGTCCCATGCTCCTTCGCGAAGGCCGGGTCAGTCTCTAGGACTCGGCTTTTCCGGAGGAAATCGAGCAGGTTCCCATAGGGAGCATACTCAATAGCAATGTACAGGTAGCCTGAGGGACAAAGGAGGGAGACAGGCCTTCAACATCCTGCAGTGGGTAGGGCGGGCAGGACTTTGCCCAGAGCACAGAAGAGGGCAGCGAAGCAGGTATGGGGAGAAGTGCAGGGACCCCAGGAACAGCAGGGAAAAAAGCCTGGCCCAGCCCACCCAGAGCAGCGGGGGGGGGGGGTGGCTCCCACCTTTGTTCTCACAGGCCCCCAGCAGGTTGATGATATTGGGGTGGTGTCCCAGTTTGCACAGCACCTCCAGTTCCCCCGCAAAGTCCCGGTGGTCGTTCTCTGAGGCAAACTCTGAAACAAGCCAGGAACAAACGCTGCAGTCCAGGGGCCCAGGCCACAGACACCCTCCTGTCCCCAGCCACCCCCCTCTGCAGTCCCAGGCCTGAGGCTCCTGTCCACAGCCACCCCCCTCTGCAGTCCTGAGGTACCTCCTCCACCCCTCGGCCAGGTGTGACTCTTAAAACAAGGCGACTGGCACCGCACCCCCGGCAGGCGCAAACCACCAGCACTGGCTCCCATCCCCCGTGGCACCCTCCTGGGTGGGTGCAAACCTCCATCCCCCCCCCCCCCATGGGTACAAACCTTCAGCACTGCCCCCCCACCCCCCGTGGGTGCAAACCACCAGAAACCCTCTCCCCTGAGGTGCTCTCCTGGGTGGGTGCAAACCCCCATCACTCACCCACTCCTGAGAAATCCTCTCGGGTGGGCACAAACCATCGCCCCCCCCCACAGGTGTCCATGCTGTTCCCATTCAGATAGTGTTTGGGGGACACGCATTGGACACTTCTCGGATTTGGACTTGGGCCCCACGGAGCCCAGATGTGGGGCCTTCAGGCAGCCCTGTGAGCTCTGGTGGCTGCGTCTGTCCCAGTACCTGGAGCAAACTCCAGCTTGGGCCCTGGGGCCCAGCTCAGGGTGCAGGGATCCCTGCCAGGATGTGTACGTTGTCCTTAACCCCCTTGCCATTCACCCCTCCCTCCTGGGCCCCAAGCAGGCGCAGGCTCGCTCACCTTTCAGCATCTTGATGGCTGCATTCATTTTCAGGCCGTCCTTTTTGATCATTGCCCTGATGACCTGCCCGAAGTTCCCCTCTCCAATCATATCCTCAAATTTGATGTCCTCCCACTCCAGGATGGGGTAGCTGAGGGGCTCAGGCTGGGGCTTTGGCCGGCGGGTCAGGGTCAGGGTCCCTGAGTTGAACTGCAGGATGGTCTCTTCCCCCTGACAAACAGGTAAGGGGGAAGTTAAAGATTTCTGGCCCCCAAGGAACCCAACACCGTGGTCTGAGCAGGGCTGGGGGTGATGGTGTGTGTGCAAGGCATGTTTCACGCTGCCTGTGGTGCACTAGGTTTAGAGGTCGGGCTGGCACAGGGGGACTCAGGGAGCCTGGCTGGGGGTCTGAGGAGGCAGAGGCAGCATTACTCACTGAGCCAGACTGGTAGGTGAAGGTCCGGCGCCGGTGAAAAAAATTCTTCTTGATAAGGAAAAGTGCCAAGAGGGCAAAAAGGATGGTGAGGCAGGTGACAGACACAGAGCCGATGATGGCCATGAGCAGCTGCTGGTCTATTCCCGAGGGCTGCATGTCCTGGCTTTTCAGTCTGGGCACCTCGCTCAAGGTACCTGCAGGGAGGGAGGGGAACAGAGGGCTCATGGCTGTGCCCAGCTCAAGGTGTCAGATGCACCAGCTCCAGCCCAACGCAGCTCTTTGCACTGCTCCATGCACTGGGAAAACCCCTCTCCTCCTTGGCTGAGTACGGCCCTGCAGCCCAATAGCAAAGGCCATGCAGCGAAGTGGCTGCAGCTGACCCTGGCATTTCGGGGCTCTGCAGTTCACCTGCCCCAGGCATCACACTGCACGACTGGAGCCATGACAGCACGTTCCCAGCCCTGACAGCTGCAGCTTATTTGCACCCACACATACACTGATTTGCACAAGTGTTGCATGTTCCCCATGCTGCATTGAAATGAACGTTGTTCTGCAAAGGGCGTTTTACTCCCCTTCAGGCTCTGCCCTTCCCTGCCCCCCAGCCCCACTGACTTATTATTTCCCCCGTCTCCTCTCTCGCCCCATTCCCCTCCCCTCCTTGCTCTTTTTCACCTTCAGTTTCTCTCTCGTGCCCATTTCTGCTTGGCCCTGCCTCCCCACGCCAAAGACAATGTTCCAGCCCCAGGAGCTTTGCTGTCTCCACACACCACAGCAGTGCTGCTGGGAGCAGCTCTCCTGTGGGCTCGCAGCTGATGTGGGGGTCAGTGCCCGAGCCGCTCAGTGGGTCACACACCAGCGGAGAGGTGGTTACTGGTGACACTCTGGGGCATAGCACATCACCCACTAACTAGGCTTTTTGCAGGGCTGGACACAGAGCCAAGACTCCAAAGGGGCCTCCCAAGGGGCCTGTGTGTGTGGGGTGCCAGCTGGGCTGGGGCTGCCCTGGCAATATGGCTGTGTGTGGGAGAGGAGGGAATGGATACAGGTGCCAGGCCTCCAGCTGGGGTGGGGTCCAAGACGTAGGTCAGCAGAGCAGCCGGGATGAAGGGGGACTGCATACCCCACTCAGTTCAGCACTTTCCTGGTGTGTCTCTGAAATAACCCACTTACCGTCCCCCAGGGTCTCCGCCTTCACAGGCTCACTCCACTCCCCAGGCACATGGGAGTTCGCTCGGACCCGGAACTGGTAGCATGTGCTGGCGTTGAGGCCCGGGATGGTCTTCGTGGTCTCCCCACCGCTGTCCGTGTCAACCCACTGTGGCTCACTGGCCCCACCCAGCTGCTGCAGCTCCACAATGTACTTACTGACACCCCCGTTGGGATACTCAGGGGCCTGCCAGGTGAGTTTGACGATAGTGTCCGTGAGGGGCTCTGCGTGGAGAGACCTGGGGGAGGAGGGGCCTGGGACGAGGAGAGGAGGGAAATCAGCACCACAGGTAACATCTCCAGGGTGTGAGGCACCAGGCCTGGCTGCGCCCAGCCCCCAGCCTCAGCCACAGCAAAGGAGACTCCCTGGGCTGTGCAGGGCATGGGATCATGGAAAGGACATGTGTGCATGTGGGAGGGGGTGACAGTCAATGGGCCACAGCAGAATAAACACAGAAGGAAGAACAGTGGGATCACCCCCCAGACAGGTCCCCCCTTGACCTCTGGTGCAGAGGGGAAGGGTCGGAGCCGCACACCATGTTCCCAGAGCCGGGGAAGAGGGGCAGGGTCAGAGCCACGCACCCCGTCCCCAGGGCCGGGGAAGAGGGGCGGGGTCAGAGC